ACACACACACGCACATACACACAAATAAACGGACATAGACACACATACACACACACAGACACACACACACACATGACCAAACGAGACACAGACCCAACAAAACTCATTTATTTGATAGAAGAAAAAAAAAAGAAGCAAATCACACCAGAACACCCGCCAACCACTCATGGAATGTACAACGGTCCAATGGACATGTGAAGAAACACAAAACACCTAGTAGAGCGCAACAAAATCGCCGCAAAACCTTTTCAACAGAACAAGATTCACACGCCTCACACACACACATTCAGAAAAGAAATGACCCCCAGTCGAAGGAATTACGTTTATAAGTGTTTTGCCTTCTGAAGTAACTCCATGTACACTTTAGTTTTAGTAAAGGTTTTACGGCACTCGCAACTTCATAAGGTCGTATGAGCGCCAAAAGATTAGAAATGAAAATGGTAGAAGTTTAGCGCCCCTATAAGATTAGAGTTGTTACAAGGGAGTAACAAACATAAAAAAGAAGTAAGATAAGAACGATAGATATTTAATAGGAAAGAAGAAGCAAACCACACCATAGCACCCGCCAACCACAGACCTTCAAGTACACTGTACAGACACACTTTTTTTGTAGTCAAAACTATCCTACAAGGTGGCTAGAGAGCGCCACTGGCAGATTCTACTTCTTTATTTTCCCACTTTTGTTTTTGTCTGTCTTACTTTTTCCCAGCACTAAATGGCCATTACTGAGTCGACGTGCGTCTCTTTCCTAAAACAAAGACTACTGCACCGCAACTTTCCTAAAACAAAGACTACTGCACCGCAACTTTCCTAAAACAAAGACTACTGCACCGCAACTTTCCTAAAACAAAGACTACTACACCGCAACTTTCCTAAAACAAAGACTACTACATCGCAATTTTCCTAAAACAAAGACTACTACACCACAACTACGTTGGGGAGATAACTACAAATAGTGGGCTGACCGTGGGTGGAACATCATACTACGGGAAGCTGAGAACTGTAAGGATCGGAAAAAGCTGTTTGCAAAATATAAAGTGGTGCCCCGCCCTTAGGCCACGACTACAGTATGTGAAGGTTGTTGAAGTTTGTTTTTCACGCCCCCATTGATACAATATAAATTATTCAGGAGGCAAGCTGTCAGAAACAATCTGGGCTGAGAAGGATACAGCGTTCCAGCAGGAAGACTGAGATATTCAATAAAACATTTTCCCCACACGGGAATCAAACAAGTGTCTTCTGTATGCGACGGTGAAGAGCCTGTCCGCTTCACTACAGACACCAGTGGGCACACTTTGTAAATTCGTTCACTTAGAAGAAACAAACCAGAGCGCTGCAGAAGCTAACACTGCGGTACATTCCACAGGGAAAGTTTGGTGTGTAAAATATGATGCACTTTTCCTTCAAAAACTACTGCTATGTCTACAGTAAAGTCCTCCTGTAATATCAAACGCCACACAAACCCAATTTTGTCGCCACCTCTACCCCCTTTTCCACCCACGAAGAGAAAAAATACAATATAATATCTAGTGTTGAAGGAGCACTCTCCTCCTTGTACTAAACTCCCTTCCTGAAAGCTCAAGGGAAAGAGCTGGAAGAGGTTAATTTCCACTTTCGGTCGATACGGAGTAATCGATACGGGTGGTGAGATTTTAAGCAGCTCTTTTACATCTCTAAATATCTAAGTCGTAGCTTAATTCGGTACTGAGACTATTAACGTTTTTTTTTTTTTACTATGTTATGTTATAGAGATTTTAATGTCGTCAAACTCGGTTTTTTTTCGACACTGAAAAGTGAATACAGCCACTTTCTTGCGCTCAGTCGGCGAATTCACAGCAGACTTTTTTAAAAAGACACCCACGCCATCACCGATCGCTGCAAAGCAACACCGCCTTGAGCTGGAATTTATGAGTTTCGCACCATAACAATACTAACATAGAAGAAGAGGACAACCACCCACCTTTCAACTGTTACATTTTACAATAACCGCACGACAGGCAAGAGGAATCAGTTGTCAACCTAAGTCAAGCTTCAAAGACGAACATGAGACAAATTATTTGTTGGATTTGATTTAGCTTAAAGTTAAGAGATTTTCAGAAATACAATTAAAGACGCATTTCACACAGTTGAATGAATCCCCCGTACAGCTGCAATGCTCTACACTTTTCGGCATTAACACCTTTCGTTTGACCATCCCAGTACCCCTTACACAGTGCGGTAAAGTATGGGTTTCAAACTCCTTTCAAAGCTCAAAGGTTAAATAAGGGGCGGACTCATCGAATTCAACGAACATCTCCAAAAGGACCCAGCAATGTAGCAGGAGAGCTTAAAATTCCCATAAGTTCAAATTCTCAAATTTAGGAATTAAACCAGGGTCATCTGCAACGCCATGGCCCAACGTGATACCAGTTCAGCCAACACCGCGCGCCTTTTAGGATGCAGCCAGA